TTGTTTATACTACTACCCACAAAAGGTTTGTAATTTTCACATGTAGGTATTTCAAATTAAGCTGAAATACCACTGCTCTAAGCCAATCAAATTGCAGAAATTTTTCATGTAGTAGTATAAAAGCATATTACCTAGGGACTTTAAGATCCAACGACGCGACGGCAACAAGAACGTCGCTTAAAAGTGAATTTGCGTCCTTTCAGTCTTCATCGCGATTATTCCTACCCACTTACTTAGTCGAGTGTAGGCGACCTTTCCTGAAATTGCATTCTAGGGGACCATATCCAAGTTCAGAAAGAGAAATAAAATTTCGTCGTTGCTTGTTTACGTTCTCCATAAAGGTCATGTTACACGAGACGATTCGCAACGACGATTTTTAGCGCAACACAGCGTTGCAACATTGTTGCGACATTGTTTGGAATAGTTATAACACTGTTCCGACATTGCAGTGCCGGGTTGCGCTAAAAATCGTCGTTGCGAATCGTCCCGTGTAACATCACCTCAAAACGCGAAATTAGACATTTTTACTTCGTAGTCGTGCAGAAACGGCAAAGAAATGTACAAAAAGTGTGATACACGTGCAAAGTTGTTGTTTTGCTTACTAAACCTATTGTTTTTTTCACGTTCTCGTTGCGGTCGCGTTGTTGGATCTTAAAGACCCTACTATGAACAGCAGAGCGCGATGGAATTCTAGAGAAGAAAAAAACCCAGGTTTTCACTTGTGTTATGGGAGTTTTCTTGTTGTAGCGCTAATACAACCCTGTCTGCATTGCAAAATTCACCGTTCATGCATCTAACGCAATAATCAAAAGCATCTCCTTGTCCTCTCAAAAACAGATTTTGGCCAAGTTAAAATGAAGAAAAGTTGTCCCTGGAAAGAGGGTCACCCTCTCAACCGAGTCAACTTAAGCGAGCAATTTTACGAGAAAAAAAATTGACCCCTTTGTCCCAGAGGCAACATGGAGCTTAAGCAACAACAACCGCGACGGTTACGAAAAGGTCACTTAAAAGTGAATTCGCGCTGCTTCAAAGTTATCGCACTTACTCCATGTTGTTCAATTCGTCAAAGGTTGGCAATTTTTTGTGGANCAATTTTACGAGAAAAAAAATTGACCCCTTTGTCCCAGAGGCAACATGGAGCTTAAGCAACAACAACCGCGACGGTTACGAAAAGGTCACTTAAAAGTGAATTCGCGCTGCTTCAAAGTTATCGCACTTACTCCATGTTGTTCAATTCGTCAAAGGTTGGCAATTTTTTGTGGAGTTGAATTCTGAAAGACTGTATCGAAGTTGTCTTGAGTTCATGTCCTTCATAAAACGTGAATTTAGGCATTTTCATGTCGCAGTCGTGCAGTGACGGCAAAGAAATGTACAAAAAAGCGTGATGCACGTGCAGAGTTGTTGTTTTGTCAATTCAACCTGTTTTTTTTTCTGCCATTCTCGTTGACGTCCCCGTCGTAGGTGCCTAAACTCCCTAACAGCGGTCGCTACGGCTGCTCGCGCATGCTCTTTCTCGCCTTGACCGAGGTGACCAGGGGCCCGTTTCCCGAAAGTCCCGGTAACTTTTGGGACCCGAAATCAAATATTCAAATCTAAATATAAAAAATAAATGCGCGGGTCCTGGGTAGCAAACTACTGCATTTTGTTTCATTAATTGATAATTTTATCATGTTAGATGCCAAGCTATTGAAGCCTCTATCTGCACGTAAACAACAACAGCTTTGCGGGCCCGTTAATTATCGGGACTTTCGAGAAACGGGCCCCAAGGTGACCCTCAAGCAAGCCTAAAGGTCCTGCCACAGACAGAATCTCTTCGGAGATGGGCCAACTTTCGTCGGACATTGTCCAATGGCCGACTCTTTGCAGTTCTGCATTATGTACGTTTTCTTCACTGGCCTACTGAATTCTCGAGCCTGTCTCGTTCAGAGATCTTCAATAACCCATTTAAGTCAAACTTTTCCACAGTGGAGAAGTTTGTATACAACCTTACACAATTGAAACAAATAATTTACTACTGGATCCATTCAGGGCAAAAGGAAAAACCACCTTTTTATAAAAAAAAACCCCCTATGAATATCACGTTTAAAGCAGATATAATTTAATTACCGAATTCTGGGGTCAATTTAATAAAACTTTTACCAGTGTAATTTACAATTGTAGCCATTGTTTTAGAGTCTGAAAACAATAGCTATACTTATAAATTACACTTGTAAAAGTTATATTAAATTGACCACTGCTGTTCCACGACAACGCTGACCTGAGCGGCGCGGACTACGTTTCTCCCTGAGACTGCTGTGTGTCAGCGGTTGATTCATATGTAGGCTTGCCAGGCAGCATGGGATACTCAACATGAGATGCCGTCAACATATTGCTTGGCTGAACTGCAATAAGCTTTGATGACGACAAGGATAAGAATCCTGACAAGAAAAATAACCTCTCATTCAATCGCGGATCGACAAGTGAGCAAAAATGGTTTCTTCTGGGATCATTCTTCTTCTTCTTCTTTTTTTTTTTTTTGGCGTTTTTATGGACCTTGGCCAACACAGTCGAGATATCCTGACCTCACAGTTGGTTGATAAGACAAATTTATTACATGGCTGAATCCGCGAATCCTGGTTTCTGATTGGCTACCCGAGCAGGCAAGATGGGACTATCTTGCCCGCTCGGGATTTCCCGCCTTGGTCCCGCAAGAAAAAAATTATCTTTTTCGCCGCATAATAAATTCTTTATTGACCAAGTTTGTTCGTTCAAGATGGCTGGATACTGGCCTCGTTCTGTTGTACGTTTTTAATGACCTCAACTTCGTCTCACGCCAAAAAAGAACCTGGCCAGTATACCGCCATCTTGACCTGACGCGTGGTAAATAAAGCATATGTATTGTGCTTTGAGGGCAGAGTTTTTAAAAAGGTTTTTAAAGAGGTACAATGAATTGTTCTGCAGAAGTCGAAAGGGGACAATGAAATTCTTGTCGTAATCTTACCGTAAGTGCATACGAAAGAGTTGTACCTTGTAAATCGGCCTTTAAAGGCACAAAGAAAAGATAGTTCATCTCAGTTTACCCAACCCAATGCAAACATACCAGGAAACAGGTCGGCCTTTGTGAGGAGCAACTGCTCTTCTGATTCCTCCTGTTTTCTTTCAGATGTAATGCAATACACTCCAATAAATGACAATACACATCTGTAAAGGAAAATCAATGTTTCAAAATTATAAATTATAATTGTCTATACTTTCACTCTAGACAAGCTGTGGAAAGATTTATTGTCGCACTGACTATGTGTGAAATTCTATGGTATTACGATTCGGGGGGGTACTTTAGGAATTTTTGGGTGGGGATTTGCTGCAAGGACCCTGGAAACCTTACCCTATACCAGAGCTAGTGCAGCTAAAGTTTCCCACCCTATACTACGCTAAAAGAAAGGCCTAAATAACAACGGTAATAGATGGACAAAGTTGAAGAAGATTCAAACAAATTGCAGTTAAGAGTTTTGAAATTGTTAGCCTGACAGTTTTCAAAAATCACTTTCGTTGTTTGTAACTTTTGATATAACGCTTAGAAGGCTTATTGGTTGAACAGGAAGCTGTAATTTTGTCATTTACAAGTAATTTCTTTGCTGGCATTATGTTCCTTAACGCATAAAGATACGTATAGTCAAAATGAACAAGACTGCCCGGACACAGCCCCTTCTTGGGTCATTATTTGGACATCAACATCAACATAACTAACTGGTAACAAAGACAAAAGATACTCACCCAAACAGAAACATAAATATTTCCAAGAATGTAAGCCCATAAAATTCTTTATATAAAACAATACCTAAAATTAAGAAAACATATCTTTATTTGATTCTTTATTAATCTAAGAATTAATATTACAGTCATGTCAGGTCAAGGGTATCGCTATAGACTTTATTCATGAATTCATTATCATTAACCACATTCATTTCTTGCTTGCTACATCATATTCTATAAGAAATTCAGGACTTAAGAAAAGGATTTCCCAAGCAGTCCTGGCATTCAAGGATTCTTAAAGTCAAGATGGTGAATTCCTAACAACACGTATACATCTCTCATTTCTTAACTTCAAGTCGCTTCAGAATAAACGGTGCTCAGACCTACCACATCCTACCGAGAATCATTAGACAGGTTGAGAAGCTCAGCGAATTCAAAATAAAGGTTAAGTGCCATGTTAAACAGTAATGCCTGTGGTACATGTTGCCTTTGTAACTTAATCGTCTAGTTTTAATGTTTTAATGTTTTTGTTTTTGTGTTGTGTCAGGGCTCCATTTAAACTAGTTCTGCTTAATTGGATGCCCCTGGATAAATATTGATTTAAAAAAAGGCTTACCACTTATTATAGCACTAATTGTAAACAAAACAAAATTTGTGGGAACAACAACAGTAGCATCAAAGGACTGCATGGCTCGGTTCAAAAATCTGGAGAAAAAGGGAAAAAAATAAAATCCCCTATTAATGAGAACAAAAGATCCATCTGACTAACCACAAATCAGAAAGCTACATGCACATTATGTAAAATTTCAATTCATTAGCTTAAGTACACTTCTGCCAATTATAACTCATGAATATTTTACTTTGAACGGGATGTACTGTAGGTATTAAATGCAATTTTGGTGTTAACCCTCTACGCCCCAATAGTGTCCAAAATCAATTTTCTCGTAACGATATCCATAGATTTTCAAGAGCAAAGTCTACGAGAATTCATAAAATGATCTCAAAGAGAAAAATCTTTGATCTTTTATCAAATTCTCTCAACTAATTCTTAAAGGAAATGTATGGAGATCAGTTTGGAGAACTTGTATGTGAATATTAGGGCTTAATGGGTTAATAGTAGGAGAGCCTAGAATAAAGCCTCACATGATAAACTGATGGATTCACCTTCCAACTTGCCTTGTGATAAAAGATGAAGTTGAATTTTGGGTTCTCCAGAAAATTTGAAGTAGAAAGAGAAACAATTAAGTAGGTAGATCAAAATGCACAGTACTAGCAGTGCACCCACTGACATGAGGGGGGAGGTATGGGAAGGGGGTACCCCTCTTTGATTAGGGGAGTTTAGGGGGCTTCCCAAGAGGAAATTGTGATTCCAGGGTCCTGAAAAATATTCACTTTTAGTCCATTTTGAGCAATCAGGGAGATGGAGGACAGAAACAAGTTTATTTACTTGGATTTACTTTTTTGAGCAAAAAGTAGGATGAAAAAATACCATAAATCCTCTATTTAAGACCCCCTTTTCAGAGGAGGAAAGTTAATAAGCACCCCTCTCTCTATTAAGCCCCCCCCCCCCCCCCCCCCCCCCCCCCCCCCTTAGTAAACAAACTCCTTGAAACAGCCATCAAGTACATCTTTATTTTGTTAATTTCTTTTCTAAACAAAATAGGGAGATAAAAAAAACACTCAAAACCCCTTTAAAACCCCCCCCCCTAAAACCCCCCCCCCTTCTGGGGAGCAAAGACGCAAGACCCCCCCCCCTGCTTTTTCCCCCCCCCCCCCCCCCTCTTCTCCATCCTTATTCTTCACAAAAAATTAACTTGGACTGATCAGCTATGGTTTATTGAGGCTGGAAATTCATATTGTTTTTGGTCTTCAGCCGCACGACCTCCAACTTCATGTGCTTAACTTTTTCAACTTTATGCTCTAGTTCTCTGTGGAGAATTGTTACCATTTAACTTTTCTTAAAAAGCAGTATAACGCCCAGGAACCACAGGTCCATCTTCGAGAAACCTTGCTCCTGTTGATGCATTTAGCTAAATTAAATATGCCCCCCTCAAAAGTGCTTGAAAAAGATAAGTCCCCTGGGGGCTTAATAGAGGATTTACAGTAAGTGTTTTCTGTGAGTAGCCAGCACATTCATGGCAATTAGACAGCAATCTCTGCCCGTTACTGGAGCTTCCAGAGAACCCTGCATTAGATCAGGGGTCACCTGGGGCCTTACACTCAATTACACTACCCTTCAATTAGTAGAATAGAAAGAGATGAGTGACAGTAAAGCACAACATGACTTACTTGACTTGAGCGATAGCAGTTGAAATCATCACAATCAGCATAACATACAACAATGGGTGTCCTAGCTGACTGTTCCCACTTAGGGTTATATTAATCATGGAAGACACAGCCTTCGCTGAGATGACCGTAAGTGAGCCTACACAAAAGAATAATGTTGAGCATTAGCACTAGGTCAAACATTAAACTTCACATGTAATGCTAATAAGCAACATTATGTGGTGGATACATAGAGGATATTACATGGCTGTGCGGAGATACGAAATTTCTCTTCGAGTGTTGAAAAATATTTCACATGTGAGCGCAGCGAACGAGTGAAATATTTTTTCAACACAAGGAGACAAATTTCATATCTAATGTTCTATGTAATGTTCTATTTATTATATAAACACCAATGACATACCAAACCATTTCACTTTAATAGTTTTTTGGTGTGAAAGGCATGATTTATTATGTAGCCATAGCAAAGGTGATATTTTCACAGGTGAAGATATCAAGTTTTCGCGCAAAAGCTCACCTGGTATTTCATTGGTGTTTATATAAAAAAAAGAGGATATTACTTGGCCGAGCAAAGATACAAAATTTCTCTTTGGGTGTGAGCACAGTAAACAATTGATATATTTTTCAACACTCAAAAAGAAATTTTGTATGTCCAAGCGGCCATGTAATGTTTTTACACACCAATGAAATACCAAACTGTTTGTAGCCATAGCAACAGTGATCTTTTCATGTGTGAAGTTAAAATGTTATTTTTACATGTGAAGATATCATGTTTTTGCGCAAAAGCTCATTGGTGTTTATAAAATCAATAATTTTATATCATGTTAAGATCTGTTGTTCCTGGATCAAACAGTGTACTTTAGAAAATTTACACACCAATGTACATGTAATAGCCAGAATTCTTACAATGTTTTTAGTGGTCACAACGGAGTGCCCCTCAGTTTACACAGTTCTTTTTAAAAATCACACTGATACAACAATAAAAAAGGTACCTAATAATGCTACAAGAAGAAGTAATATAACAACATTTTCCAACTGATAGCGCCACTGAGCAAACAGTAAGCCACAGAATATCACACTTTCCAGAGCCTGAAAACAAGTTCAAATTACTGCTGTCAAGGCTTACATTCAACACATACATGGACTAAACATACTGAAATTTTCCAAACTTCCTGGCAGGTTTTTCTATACTTTTATTTACCCTTTAAGTCCTAAAAATCCACATACAATAACAGGGTTTGTAAATTTTATTGACGGGTAAAGTCAGTGTGGCTTCTACTTCACAAACTTTGGAGTCATTATGGAATATTATTTGGAGTCAAGTAACACAATGGAAAAAGCAATGTGATGTTCCTTCTATGGTTCTTTGCTTGGTCTTTTTGACATGGATGCCATTCCAGCACATGGTTCTGGCACGTCTGCGGCCTCATGTCAAAGTCCGCTGACCTCAAAAAGCTTACATCCATGATGGTGATCATTGTTCGAGTTTACTTTTCTTTACTGTAATTTAGCCTCTTCACGTAAAGACTTGAATATACCTTAAATTCGTCTGTTTAAATCAGGTTTAAAATATCTGCAGTTCAGGTAGATTGTATTTGTTTTGAGAAAGGTAGAGAAAGAACTATTTTACAACTGAAAATTTCTGGAGTCCAAGTGACTCCCTCTGTAACCTCAGTAGAGTCATCCAAAAAGATTTTTGGCATAAAATACAACAAGTTTTTGTTTTGTATATATGCGAACTCTGCAATAACACATTCTTTGGCCTGATCTCTACACTGTATAAATTATAATTATTCCTTAAGAAATTAGTTGCGCAAGTTAGTTAGTTTGTTAAAAGTTTGTTTTCCCTTTGCGCATCATTTCATTAACCTTGTAATCTTTTCTCTTTTCTCTTTGATATTGTTAGGAGACTTGGGACTTAAAGTGTTAACAAAAAATGAAGGCCAAATTTTGCTTCAATGAAGTAATGATTAAGTTTTAGTTCTCTTTATTACTGTAAGTATGAATTCTAATGCTCGGCGACAATGTGCGCACATTAAAAGCTGGACAATGAACCACTCTCCAAAACAGCAATTTACTAACTAAAGGATAACATATCTCAAATTTTAAGTACTGTACTTTTTGGAATGTGATATCAAGTTCAAGAACT